GTCTCCTCCCCAAAACAGGCACTCATGCCTCAGTCCTGAGAGGAACCACGTTGAGTGTTGACAGTGTTGAGTGATGACCTTGGGGCTATACGAGGTTTAGGTTCTAGTTTTGCTCTGCTACCAACAGCCACATATCCCATAACCTCCAGGGTAAATAGAAAGGAGTTGGCCTAAGTGGTTTCTGTAGCTCACTGTGGCTCTACAATGCACTGGGCTCCAAATCTGTTTGGTTCTAAGAGCCTATAATGGACACCCAAAAAAGGCGCATCTCAAAACAAGTGTCGCTGCTTAGTGACCCTTCACAGCACAAGCTCAGTTTAGACACCAAGTGCTTCCCAAAACGTCTGAGAAATCAGAAACGGGGTTGCCCTGTGAGTGACTGTTCCTGTGTTCCTTCCTCCTCCCTTTTCCCAGCAAGGATCTTCCTGCAACTCTTCATAGACTCTTGTCCCCAGCAACAATCAATTCCGCCTTACTTCCTTAATTCACAATTCTAGGAGCTAAAATTTTATTAGTAAAAAATGAAAAAAAAAAAATTAAACAGGCTAAATGACAGCCTACACTTTAACTGAACTTGAGTCAACTTCATCCTAAAAGAATTATAGTCTGGGGATTATTTTTTTCTGATTGTTAGTTCTTTATTTAGGAGTTTTGTGATAAATGATATTAGTCTACACTTTGTTTTTTGTGTACAATATTATCAAGTTTTGGTATCAAAATATACTTGCTTCATAGAAAGATTTTTCAACAGTTTTAAGATACTTCACAGACCATAAAAGTCACTCTTTTAAAGTATACAATTCAGTGGATTTTAGTATATTGAGTTGAGCAACCATTAATGTTACCTAATTTTAGATTTCCTCCAACAATACAGGGATTACTTTCAAATGATTTCTAAAGCATTTCCTGAAGCTTCTTTCAGCATATCAATAAAATCATTTATCATATATGTTTATCCAAAGGAGGATTTGAGGAATAAGCTATAAAGTGTTATAAGCAGTGATAATAATTCTTTAGGGTCCAGGAATACATTGCATTTAAAAAGTGAAAGCTGATGTTCTTCAATATTCTGTGCATTTTTCCATAAATTTATCAAGTAGTGACATCTATACTTAAAATATCTTAATTACTCTGACTATCACAGCAGAAAAATTAGATATGAAGAAGTCTTTAGTTATTTGGTACCAAGAGTGAAGCAACTAATCTGTAGTTCAACATGTCATTCCTTATGACCAAGCAGAATCGAAAGCACCAAACCATCCCGTGAAATAAATGACTCAACTGACCTACAGCTTAATGAAGCCACACTGGGACTTGGGGCACGGGTAGGTAAGTATCTCTGGACTCCTTATCTTTGAGTAACTCAAAGTTAATCATCGATAATGTAAAGAAATGTTTTCTTATCCACTTAAACTTAATTAGTATATCTATATTCCACAAATAACTGCAATTTCACTAATCAAAAAAGTAAAGAAGCAACCTTTGTCCACCTAGTCTCTTGACACAAGGTTACCAAAACAGCAAGCAGACAAGGCAACACCTAGGATAGGACACTGATCAGCGTAACAGAGGGGACTTCCCAGTTCCTCAGGCCAGCGTCAGTATGATTACCAAACACCTGTCAGTGTGATAAAGGCACTGATAACAGAGCCTCACTTACATTTACAATATAAGGATAAAATTAGTTACCATTTACAATATATTACCTTATTTACTATTTACGATATAAGGATAAAATTCATATATAAATTCTGAGATTACCTTTTAAAAAATCTTAACAAGAGAAACTAACAAAACATTTCATTTGGTTTGCAAAATACGAACATGGAAATATGTATAAAAGTAAATAATAAAACTAATCTCAAATATTTTCTTTTTTGAAAAAGTGGTAGTCGCAGCTAGAAAGTGATGATTCTGGACATTTTAATAAAGGTGGTTTAGGTAAAGTTCTGCTGCCTTAACGGCATACCTTTGCTTTCCTAATTAAGACTCTGACGGCAGGATAAAACTGCCAGCCATCAAATATCAAGATTCTGAGACATCCCTGTAACTGATGCCCATGAAAGCTTAAACTTAATTTTTAAATTTAAGAAAAACAATGTTCTAAAAACCAAGGAGATGAGACGTGATTTTTAAGTGCGCACGACAAACGCTGGGTGTCGCCCACCTCACGCACTCTGGGGTGCACCGGTGACCTCCGCTGAAGGTGGATGCCGTGGTACATGAAGTCCTGGATGCAGCCATGCTCTATGGTCTGGAACGACAAACGGCACGCGAGTTCTTAGTGTGCACACGTCCTGCCAGACAGAGGGGCAGGCCGTGCAGCAGTCTGAGTACCAAAGGCCCCTCCGCCCTACCGTCTTCTGTCTCATGAGGGAAAACCTGGGCCCCGTCAATAGAGCTCTTCTGTTGTAGTGCACACCTTAGAACTCCTTTAATTTTCATACACCAAAGCCGACATTTAGCCTTCTACCTATTTGATGAGATTTCAATTTGTGCTAACTGGCAGGGCAGGCTTCCCCCTAGCACAAGGTTAGTTCAAGCCAGACAGGGCTCAGGGACTGAGTGAGCTGGGAGCCCTTCCTGAGCCGTCCTGTAACCTCAGAAGGCTGGATCTTTTGCAAGAGCCTGTCCAGAACTGCCACTAAACTACCTTGAAGGTGGGGGCCAAGATTCCAAACCGACCGGAACGAGGTCTTTCAGGGCTGCTGCAGAGAGGGCTGGGGCATGACGGGCTGCGGGAAGCTCCTGGGGAAGCCAGGGCACTGAGGGTCCTCGACAGTGGGGCGACTGAATGGAGCAAGGCCAGCCAGCAGGGACAGCTCAAGCCCCCACTGGACGGTCTGGTCTGTTAGCTGCCCTGTGCTCTGCACCACCCCCCGATGCCATGGTTTTAAGGAGGGGCATCAGTGAATCTTTCTACTAATATTCACCTCTTCTCCGTTATCTTTGAAAATATTTCCTTCACCTGAAGCCACTAGTAAATCTTAACGCCATCTCATGGGGAAAAGCAGACTAGACTGTCGGACTTGCGATGAAATAGGAGATTCACAGCGCTACCTGTTAAGTATCTGTGCCATAAAAGTCGAGTCTCTCAAGCTGATTACTAGCATATGGACATTCTACAGGAGAAATGACCCAGTTTCTTCAATGTATCGGTGGCACAGATTTTAAAAAGCAAAAGGGAGGGATGAATGCTGCACGAGATTTAAATGATATGACAAGCAAATGCCATTGGGAAACATGCTGGATCCTGATTCCAAAAAAAGAACCGTAAAAAGGCATTTTTACAAAGCTGAGAAATTTAAATATGGCTTAATTATTTTTAAATCTACCAAGGAATTTGTTTGGTACAATAATAGCGCTGCATAACCATATTTTTAGAGATGCATACGGAAGGACATAGAAATGAGATGGCAAGTCTAGAATTTGCTTTAAAAACTTAGAGGGAGAGGGGAAGAAAGGGAAAGGAGAATACTGAGAAGTATAATTGCTGGTGCTAATTTGGCACAGATCTAGTCAAATAATTAAGTTTTTAGTCACAAACTCCTATTTTTTAAACCACTACTGGAGAAAAGGGGGACAAAAACCCCTTCCTGTGGACAAGTTTCATGCCGTAATACGACGCAAAAACTGCAAAATCCCCTTTCCTCCCCCAAATTACATCATGTCAAACTATTCTAGAAGTTGTCAGCAGGGGAAAATAAGTGATAACCCTTTGCTTTTCAGAAGCAGAAGTCATAGAAACCAGCTTAAGATGGGCAGGAGAGCAGAGTGGATCGAAATACTCTCCAAACCTCAGGTAACCGCCCCTCTGCCTGCAAACCTCTTCTCCCACCCGCCAATTCAGGGCCTGCTCCCCAAGCAGGAAACACTTCTTTTTGACTTAAAGTAAAATCTTACTCTCAGAGGGAAAGAAAACACATTTGAGAACCTAGTCTGAGAAAAACGTAAGGGCTATCGGGCAGACTCCTATGATGTTGCCAACACGGCCTTTGAATATTTAATTGTGATGGATTATATATAGCCATGTCTTCATAATATAGATATCATATAGTCTTTGAAGGTTGGCCATATTCAAACCAAATGTCTTTAAATTCTCAAAAATAATGTAATTAAAAGAAGTGGCCTGAGGTTCACAAGCAGCACTGTGCAACAAACAGAAGGCGAGCCATGAACGCGATTTTAAGTTTTCTAGTGGTCACATTAAAACCAGAAAAGAGAAACAGGTAAAATTATTTTAATACTTTGTTTAGCCCTTATATCCAGTATCATTTCAATGTGCAGTCAATATTTTTAAAAAATATCCCTAAGATATTTTATATTCTTTTTCCATACTTAGGGATAAAAAATATCCCTAAGATATTTTATATTCTTTTTCCATACTAAGTCTTCAAAATCAGGTATGTTTCTTACGTTTACAGCACGTTTCCATTGGGACTGACGGCATTTCACATGCCCAGCAGCCACATGTGGCCAGACATTGCAGGTCCAGAGCTGCCCACTGCACATTTTGGGGACGGGCATGTGGGGCTGTGCTCAAGCACAGGAACGAGCACGCACGGGGTGGAGCCCACCACACAGGTTCTCATCATTTGTCTTTATTTTGACAGACAGCGTCAACACAAGTTTTAAGTGACCCTTCCATGATGGCTTATTTAGTAACGAGAACATAATAAAAAGTAAGTGTTAACATTTAATAAAATGGAAATACCTCCAAAATTTTCCCTGAAGCCTTTTTCCAAGCTCTGAAATAAATCTCTGCAATGTGGACCATCAAACACCTATTAAAGAAAATTTTTAAATTTTAATGCAAGTTCAAAGCATTATAGTTTTCAAGTATATTATTTCAGGTACTCTCCTACCCTGGGGAAGAAGAAACTCGGTTCAAACTAGTGCTTTGCAAAACAACTGTAGTGATTTGTGATCTACCGACAGAAGAAAGTAGAGTAAGAAGAAAGTCTGCAGAGGCGGAACTGCAGTATCAACCTATTTTCTTCCTTCTCAGTCAAGGCTCCCCCAGAACTTTACTATTTTCTGTGAAACCATGAGAACACAGCCCAAATGGCATGGCGGGTGTTAGGGACACAGGCTGTACTGTGACTGAGGCTGAGATTTAACTGGTAAATAATGTCATTATTTAAAGAACTCCTACAAATTAAAATCTCAATTTACTGAAAAAGAATGGTTTCTTATAGCAGGGAAAATATCCAGTCATATGAAAGACCACGATAAATAACAATTTAAGAGAGAATTTCTAAAGCTCCCAATACATTAATATAACTTTTAAAAGTGAAGTCAAATAGAATCTTTCAAAATGAGATTAGGATAACAGAAAATATTATGTTTAATACTTACTTTGGTAATCCCTGTAACTGGTTTTTAATGGTCCCGTGGATCATTTTAATAAAATTTATATTCCAATTGAATAGAGAACTAAGAAATCTTCTTCCCTGTAGATTAAAAAAAGCAGATCTGATAAAAAATTCCCAGTTCTTAAAAACCAAATAATTCTTTGAATGTTTAATAACATCGACAGTGGCTATTCCTAATCAGGGAAGCGTCCACCATTACAACTCAGTGTCCACAGACCGGAGTTGTGCTGGTGTCTGCTCCTGTGTGGGGATGCAGTGGGAGCCTCAAGGTGACAGAAAGGGACAGCAGGACAAGGGCGGGAAGGCTTCCATCTGAGAGGCTAGCAGCGGACACCACTGAGTTCCTTTCTTGCTCGACCACATAATTACTCAAGACGGGCAGTCACCGTACTGCCCAGCAGGTAAGTTCAATGGTTCATCCGCATTTCCTTCTGTCACGGAGGTCTAAATAACCCAAAATCAAAGAATCCTTGAAATCTCCATTTTGGGTGGGAATGGAATTGAACATTATTAGTACATATCATCTATTATAAATGAGAAAACAGAGGACTTGTAAAGTTAAGGGGCTAAGTAGCTGCTAAGAATTTTCAAATACGTATAACCCCCAAGTTATAAATGGCATACATATTGTCTTGTAAAGTTAATTTACATGCACACTACTAGATGACACACGTGAACCTATACACACCACAGAATGCATCAAGAACGTCCCTGGCGAACAGCGCCATTACCTCTTCACGGACGGAAACGCAATGCACTTTGATGCAAATGGCAGAGTGACCACACGTGCATCAAGCAAGTTAAAAACCAGTATTTACTGCAAGCAACTTGTCGATAAGAGTATGAGGTATTTACTGTTTACCCCAAATGCTTGGAAACTAATGTAATCAAATTAATAACCGATTAGGAAACTAGTTAGGTATCTTAAATACAAAAGAGTGTATCAGTTAAAAAAAAAACTTCTAACATTCACGCGTGTTTGTCTATGCTACGTACGTACACATATATATGTTAAACAAATAGAATTCGACCGCTGTGTATAAGGCAATATAAATTACGTTCGTTTGTCTGAATCCACTTTTAACTTCACTCTCCCCCCAAATTTCATAACAATCCTGGAAATTCTTAAGGCACAGGCCCCTCGTCCAGCATCTTTTCCAAGGGTGATGCTGTGATAATGGCAATGAGCAGTCAGAGCCCTGTCTGAGGAAGGGGCACCTGCCTGGCACCACGCAGAAGGCTCTACACACATCGCCACACGTGCTCCTCACAGAAGCCAGTGAGAAACCAACTGCTGTTCCCGCTGTGCAGAAAGAAACACTGAGGTTGAAAGTAGTCTGATCAAGGCCACCACCCACGAAGTGAACAAACAGGATCTTAACACGGCCTTTCTGACCCCAAAAGCCAAAGGTCTTGGTCAGTATGGTCAGTAATGACAGATGGCCTTTGACCCAGGCTGAATAGAGATGGTGCACTGGAGTGGGCAAACTGGGTCAAATTCGGTCTCCACCACTGACTAGCTGTGACACCTGGAGAAAATTCTCCTCTGAAGGGCTTCCAGACGGGGCCTCGCCCTCCTCCTCTGGGTAAGCTTTGCCCACCCCACCAGAGGAATGATGACCTCCTCCTCTGCCTGCCTCACATACGGGTCTGCGAGGCCACGAGCAACTAGGCACAGAGGCTGTATTCCACAGCATGAGCAACAGTCTTCTCTGCTTCGCCGGGACAGTCAATGATCGATAAACAGCTACAGAAAGACCCTAACACAGCACAGCAGCACTGTCCAACTCTAATGTTTAATTCTCTAGTAGCCACATTAATAAAAGCAAAAAAGTTAACTTTAATAATATATTTGTGTAAGCCAATATATCCAAAATATTATCACTCAAACACATAATAAATGTATAACAATTATTGAAACATTTTATACTTTTTTCATACTAAGTTTTGAATTCATGTGTATTTTACAGTTAAGGCCATCTTTCATGTGCTCAGTAACCACATGAGGGAGTGACCACCAGAATGGACAGTGAAGCAGAGGGCCAGAAGCCTCTCTGGGTTTACTGGATAGCAGAAAGAAGAAATCGAGACTATTGGGTGATGACAGTTTTGAGTACATGCCAATTAACTTGGAGTGAGGGCAGAGGGCCAGCTCTAATCCACTGGGAAGTGCTTTCTCAACCTTATTTTTAATCATTCTTATTTAATGCAATCACAGGTCCTGCAAGATTCACACAGCCACCTGTTACCAACTGACAATGATGAAAAATAAGTAATGACTTGTAAAATGTCTGCTTAACACTGCCATGTAGTAAAAATGATATGCAATAAATATCATGGCCCTTGATAGCTAAGATAACTCTTTCATCAAAACAAGGTATACTAAACACACTAACAGCAACCACACGAACTTAGGGAAAAAAATCGGTTAAAAAGCAGTTCACAAATAAACCAAAAAAGAAAAACCTAATCACCTCTTCCTTCTTGATGTAATTAACATTGATGAAGCACTCAAGTAGCATATTTTTAATTTCTCTACTTTCCTCCAAATCATAATCAAAGCAATATAAAGCCTGATGAATACGCCAAAGTCGACATATGTCTGCACCCTAAAATGACATAAAAAAAGAAAAATGTTAGTTTTTTTTAAATAAACAGGTCACATTTCAAATTAACTATAAGAATATTTTATATCATAAGTAATTACAACTCTATACATCAAAAAAGAAAAATGACATTTTAAAATTTGCAAATGTCTCTTGCAACTCTAGAGAACACTTTTACAAAACACAGGCAGAAGCCAGCAGATGCACTGATGCCCAGCACAGCTCTGCACTTTCCTGCGACGGGGAAGACGCTGGCGTCTGCAGTGTCCAGTGTGGCAGCCGTCAGCCACATCAGCCTGTCGAGCAACTGAAATGTGACTGGGGTGACTGAGGAACCCAATTTTTAATTTTCTTATCTTTAAATTTAAATAGCACCATGTGGCTAGTGGCTACTGTACCAAACAGCGCAGGTGTGGAAAATTAGGAAGACAACAAAGGTCTTGATTGAAAAGCTAAACAAAAAATGGCAGGAAAATAGATTTTAAAAAGACAAATCAATGATGGTTTATGGATAAATTCTGACATAAACAAGGGTTTTGAATCACTCCTACGGCCACTAGGAAACATCAGATTGCCAGCTGAGGCTGTACCCAAAGGACTCTTTCTGTCACAAAACTGACTGCTCCCTGGAGGCCCCAGTAGGACAGACTCTCACAGGGAGGGTAGGAACAAGCGTGGGTCCAAGCTTTTTTAAAAGCTGCTGACAATATGCATCAAGACCTCCAAGTTCGAACCTAATGACCTACAGATTTCATTTCTAGAAATCTGTCGTGAAAAAAGACATGGGGGTATGGGAGAAGTGCCAGAGAAATCCCTCCATATCCCTAATGATTACCTTGGGTAGTAGAATTGTGGACAATTTTTATCTTTCTCATTTTCCCTTTTCTTCATTTGCTCAATTTTCTAAGATGAACATAAGTATCTGCTGTTGCCCTGATCAGGGGGAAAAATGTTTTTTGTTTTTTTCTGGATTTCTGAACTACACCAAAGTAAAAGATGAAAAACAGCCCAAGTTACAGCCAAGCTTTGCACTCACTCTCCGTTGGTCCTCAGGCTTGGGCTCTCATCTGAAACAATCCTACCCCCGCCCACCCTCCTGCCCACCGGTGCCCAGTGTGGCACCTGCACCTGGGTCTGAAGGCTGTGTCTGACTACTCCTGCCCCCTCCTGTCCTTGACAGTGCAGGTCCCACCCTGTCCAGTGCCACCACAGGGTCTGCCTCTGAGGACCACACTAGCATGGGCAGCTACGCCCAGTCTCCTGCCTCAGTATTGCCGCTCTCCCCTGCCCTGAACTCACATAAGGTGTAACTGGAATAGTCACCTTGCAACTATGAAGTGACACGAGGGAGGACAAAGGCCACACATATGAGGGAAAGGGAGGAGAAATCCTGCATACGGCTGCACCATGGAGCCGCTGCTCACCTTGACTGCCAACTCTAAACATCTCGCAGTTAAAAAAAAAAACACCTAACTGGAGAAACCACTGCGGTCAGGCCACTGACGAGGAAACACACTCATAAATGATATAAACATGTGCACTGTTTAAGTAAAAAGCAAACACACTGTTTTCGTCTCGAGACTCCTCCTCAGCAGCATGACGAAAGCAGTCTTGCCCATGTCCTCTTTGGCAGGCAGGCCTCTTTCCCACCACGTGACACACAAGTCCTGAATGGAGCCCTGCAGCTTCCGTTCAGATGCGGGGAGCGCGTACAGGACACCTAGGAGACCCAGCAAGTGTCGTCAGAGGGGCAGATCAGAATTAGCTGCGACTCAACAGTGTGGGGCACCATGACTTAGGAAGGTTTGCTAAGCACTAGTTTATGTCTGATTTGCCAAAGATTTATATACATTACTTAGAGAATACAAATGATACTAATTAAAAATTGTTTTATTACTGCTATAAAAGCAGACCCACTAATATAGAGAATTTAAAACTGGGAGACTCACAGAGGGCGTCCTGCCCACATCTCTAAGAGGCAGATATCAAAGCTATCCAAACATAAGTGCAATGACACCATGGTGACAATTCATGCCAGAGCCGGCTCAGGTCTACTGACCGAGAATCACTACAACCATCCCTCAGTGTGCTGGCCTCAAATTCTGGCTCATTGGTGAAAAACAGTAAAAGCAACTATTATAATAAATACCAAAACTGTAGTGTTTTTATGAACAGAAATGCTCAAGAATGAAAATACTAATAATGTACCCATAATTATAATCCACAGATATGTGAATGCCATTATACTCACACAAAATTCCCCAATTACTGAAAAGTTGGGAACTACAATATCAGTACTAATTGTTTCACAAAACAGTTATCTGGAGACTGCAAAAAACCAAACTATTGGTAACATGCACAAAGCACTCGAGAGCGATTTTCAGTGATTACTGTGCAAGAGTTCTGAATAACGCACATACCACACAGGCCCATGAACCCACGTGATGCTGAGAATGAAGAGCTGGAACTACTTATATTCACATGGCGGGGGGTGAGGGTACATGGGAGATTTTCCTTAAAATCATTACTTAAAATTACTTTTGCATCTGTAATGTTATATAATATTTTATAATCATGTCTTCTCATTAATTCAATCTAGTGCTCCTCCTAAATAATTTTATAGTTCTAAAATTTTTATAGTTAAAAACTAAATTTTATAGTTATAAATTAAAAATCTTATAGTTCAGTTAAAACTTGAAAAGTATCGTAATACAAATTTTGAATAGAAAAACTCCTCTGACAGTCAACAATTATTCCTCAGGTCATGTTCATAACATATTTAAAGAAAAAAATTCAGTGTCACAAATATTTGGTTAAACTGAAACTATCTGGCAGCAATTTAGAATTACTAAATTTAGTAATTTAATAAATTTAGAATCAGACTATTTCCCCTTAATAAACTCTATCACTGGTCCTGTAGGTCAAGCAGGACACTCCTGAAAACCCTGCGCACAACAGTTAGTTGCTCAGTGATGCCCATCTTCACCATCTGAAATATTTATATGCTGCTTTCATTAAACTACTCAAGACGGCCACTGAAAGAATATCCCTTTGCTCCTTTTCTGGCCGAAGTAAAAGAGCTTGACTGCAAAGTTATGCCTTAATATCACTTCAGCAGCAGACATCACCCCGGCTTCCTTTTACAGAGTGTCATTTAGACACCCCACTTCTAAATATGCCACGTTACAACAAGTCGACTTACCATTTAATATTACAGCACATTCCAGTAAGGCCTCATAATTCTCACTCTCATTTATTACAGATACAGAAGCAAGAATCACGGATGTAATTGCACGGATTATTTCTATGCTTTTTTTCTATAAATAAAAAAATGAAGCTATGAGTGAATGAAAATCAACTTAAAATTCCTTTTTTTTTTTTTTAGGCGAGGCAACCTTTGGTTGACCTCACAGACTGCAAAGACCTTGTCAGCTTACAATCCCTTATTTTTTATTTTTTACGTCTACAGCACCTGGTCTTCCTAGGTGGTCTCCCATCCAAATACTAACCAGGCCCGACCCTGCTTAGCTTCCAAGATCAGACAGGATCGGGCTTGTTCCAGGTCGCATGGCTGTAGACTTAAAATTCCATTTTTAAAAGAAATTTAAAGGTTACTAAATTTTTAAAAATCAGGCCACACATCTAGCTTATTCTAAAAAGTGACTTAAAGGTGAATACAAGTCAGCTGTCCGAAAAACACCACAACATTGAGTATTAACAATGGTAGGACTGGGAAAGGGTAAAACTACAATAAACTTCTAATATTCTTGACTTCTTAACTTAAAATTCAATTATACACAAAAACAATTCTTTTTGACAAAGAAAAGGGAAAATATTTTACTTTTGGAAGACCAGTACTACCGTTTTTGAATCATGGTCTGTTTCCATGTCGTCTTCACCCAGGTCTTCCTCTGTCTGCCACCCATCCACCGGGCTTTCTAACAACACGTCTGTCAGTAAACTCCTGAGCCTTCGCCATAGCTCTTCCTTCTGTTTCCTTGATAATTCATCTAGTAGTTCATTTAGGTTGAAAGGGTCAGAAGCATCTTCCTGTAAAATAAATAGCATGAGTTACATTTCAAATACAAAAAATTAGTTTTATCCTTTTTACGATGGCATCGAAAAAGAAGTTTAAGTGCTAACTTAGTTATAAGTTCAAGAATTTGGTTGTAGTTTTCAAAATCTATTCCTAAATGGGAAAAGTGTAGGGATTATCAGGCAGAGTAGCAGATTCCTCCTACACCTATTCAGCTCTCCTATCCTATTCTTTGGAGTTAAAATTTAACCCAGTTAGCAAAAATCCTCCCTAAAATCAGTCCATCCAGATATCCACCACCTCCAGGCCTATAATTACTTTACAGAAGTATGCCAGAGTATGAAAATCACAAGAAAGCTAAACATAAAACTTACATCAAGTTGAACAAATTGCAAAAATTCTCCAATCAGCTCCTTAGACACTGCTTGTACAAATGTCTCACGTTTTTCCATGACAGATGGAACTGTGTTTCATATGGCATTTATTCTGTAACCCTAGTGGAAAACACAATCATTCAGAAACTTGCATTTGCAAATATATCTTCTCCTACAAGATGTAATTTGGTAGTAACATCCAAAACTGCAAGAAAATTCCTCTACCACCTATGGTAGATAGTTTCTAACACTATTCCGACATAATACAAGTTATAACACCTAAAAAATAATCTCCTCATTTCCATCACTGAGGATAGTATCAACATAATATTATGTTAATGAAACTGCCATCTAAGGAAAGAGAAGCCCAAATAGCCTTAGGAGGTGCGCCCTCGTTAGTACCTCAGCACAGCACGATGCTCAGGTAGGTCTGAGTCAGCTCAACGGAAAACAGGCTGATCCCAGCTGCGAAATGCTGAAGACTCTCCCTTCCTAAAGGGCCATTCCTCCTCCTCACACCCGCCTTGTGTTTTCAAAGTGTGGCACAGGGTCACCTGGGAGCTTGTTAGTGTATGCATCAGGTGTGCACGCACCCTTCCCCTACCCCTAGGGTCCAGAGCTCTGGGGACTTGGACTGTGCACAACCTCCTTCCCTGCATCTTCCCCAATAAACCCTATTTTCCATTTACACCACCTGTGCTACCAGTGCCCTGTCAGAAAGACACCAACCCAAAAATAAATAGCCAAATGATGGAACATTTATGCAACAGGACCCCTAACTTTAAAACAAACGAAAACCTGCACCATTACAGAGCAAAATGGAAATGTACTGGTACCAACAGCAATATTATGGGGACAAAGGGTCATCTTAAGCATTAGAACCCCAGATCTTAGGGTCTAAATTAAACCAACAAAAGTAGAAAATAACTTCCTCACATAAGTACCACTGAAATCTGGCCACCTCATTCCTCAACTAGAGGGCTGAGCTATGAGCATCACTTCCTGCTGGCCAGCCACAAGCTGGATGACTAATAATGGCTAGTGCCAACTCACCAGTTTAAAAACAAGTAACATCCCAAAAAGTGTAATCAAGTACATGGAATCTCATCTTAAACTGGGCGTCTGTGAACCCTCCACCCTCTTCTGTAATTCTGGCACTTTCCTGGAGTACTCTACTTCCAAGTGCACACACAGTGATCCACTTCCACTGCGCTACCAAACTTACGGCCCTACGACCCTTCTCTCTGAGGAGAGATGCAGTTCTGCCGGGTTACTAATTCTCACCTTACGCTCGGCGTATCGTCCCAAGGGGCACACTCTGTCTCCCGTACTACTGTACACAGACGGACCTTGTGCTACTTTGAAGGCTAGGGATCACCCCGCTATGCAGTTATCCATCTCCACAGCAGGGAGCTCTTCATCCAGGAGGTCTGGAGGATTTAAGAGGAGCGTTGAAAAGGCGGTCCCTGTCGCCTTGGCGCTGCCTGTAGGCGGTGCACCAGCCCTCCCATCCCCACATCCGGGCAAACCATTTCAGAACTACGAGAGATGCTTGACGGCAAGTCCCCCGGGCACAAACCGGGGACTGGTCCTCTGTGGGTTCGGTCAGTCCCCGGATCCGGTCTGAGAGTCTTCTGTGGGGTCCGTCCCCGGATCCAGGCTGGGGGTGCTCTGTGGGGTCGGTACCCGGGGACGGCACGGGCGTCGCGCGCTCGGCGCCCCGCTGCCCGACTCTGCTGCGCCCCTTCAGAGACGGCAGCCGGGCCGTGGATTCG